TGCGGCCATTGTTGCTTCACTGTCTCTGCTTTTTGGCAAGACATGTTTTTTTTTTTTTTTCATGATCGTTGTCGTCACGTATAAATTCGAAAATTTGTCTATTATATATATATATATAATCATTAAATTATCATTAAATTTTTTTAATTACGTGTTATTGATTATTTATGTGTACTTATTTTTTTTAAGTTATCTTAAATTTAAATTAAAAATCTTTAAAAAGAATAAATTTGATTTACATCAATAAAACAAAAGTTTAGTAGCCATTTACATCTATGAAAGATTTTAGCATTAGAGTTTGCAATCTAATATGTACCTTTCGAGTTTTAATAGACTCAACCTATAAGGTTGATTTTTTTTTTAAATTAAGTTTTGAATTGCGTAAGATCAAGATCAGATTTTATGCAAATTTGGTTTAACTTGACCAAATATATATTATTTTTATTATTTATTTAATTTATATATTTATATTTAAAAAATAATATTTTATATTAAAAATTAATATTTTATTAATTTTAATTTGGATTGATTGTTAGTTTAAATATACACGAATTGAGATGAGTTCGTTTATAAATATAATATTTTAATATTAGATCGAGTGGAATTTGGATATTGAGTTTATAAAAATCAGATCGAATTCGGATGAGTAAAAATTTGTCCTGATTTAATTTATTATCATCTTTATTTAGCATCTTATTATGTTTAAAATTGATATCAAATTAATTATATATCATTTTACCTAAATTTTAATCAAAGGTAGTATTTTATCATACAAATAAATTAATTTTAATTTTTTTATTTATGTTTACAACATTGTCATACAAAATTCTATTAAAAATATTATGCAATAATATTATAATTAAAACATACAACTATCATGCAAATATATTAATAATCATACAAATAATAAATAATTATGATAATAATAAATTACACAAATAAATATTTGGTAATCAAGTAAATTCATGCAAATAATTAAACTCATGCAAAAATATATAATAAATTAAGCAACAACTATTAATGCAAAAAAATAAAAAATCAAATAATAAAAAAATCATACAAAAACATAAAAGTTAATATCAAAGTTTTTTTTTTTTTTTACATCATCATAAATAAGTAGATTAATAACAAATAAAAAGGAAAAAAAATAACTAAAGCACTCAAATGGGGTCTACATGATTCTTACTTTCCTTTTTCTTGTTTAATTTTGACTTGTATCATACCATGTCAAGGCCATGCTTTCCACGAAACCCTTTAGCTCCAGCCTTATGCCACCGTGCCGTGACCCAGCTTTCCCCTTTTTTTTTTTTGGCAAATTTTGCAAACTTTCTTTTGCTTTTGTTTCTTGACGATTCGTGTTTCTACCTTGCTTCTTATTATCCTTATATTGCTTCTCTTCTTGTTGATTAAAGCCTTTAATTACTCTCATAGTCTCTCCTTAAAACTCAAAACTTTGTATTGCATAAATTATTGATTGTATTGCTTCTTGGAATTTTTTTTTCTTTTCCCCCTCGCTTGAGCTTGTAATTAAGCTCTTTATATAAAAATTAAATTCCTTTTTGTTTTGAAAAAATTTAATACTAATAGAATCTATTAAGATTCTGTCAAAATTTATTTTTTTTGTAAAAAATTAATTTCAAAAATTACTAAAATCAAATTTAATATTTAAATTTCAAATTTAAATAAAATCACAAGCTATAAAAAAAGAGAGTAAAAATATATGTTCATAAATTAAAATAAAACACAATTTTGGGCCTTTAATTTTGGCCTGCAAATAAATGGTATGATTAAACGTTTTATGGAAATTGACTCTCACAAAATATTTTTTAAAAATTTTTTACATTTTCAAAAAATTAGAGATTTTTTATTATTTGGATGAGTCAATGAAAAATATTTTTTATTATTTATTTGTTTTTTGAAAAATATATTTTTCCTAAAATAAAAATAATATAATTATTAAAATGTTAAACATTATTTATTATTAAAGTATATTGAAATTATTTATTATTAAAATTATTAATATTCAAGAATAATTATATTTTAATAATAATATTAATATTAAAATATTATGTTAATATAAAAATACTTAAATTAAAACTATTTATTATTCTTTGTACTAATATTTTAAAATAGTATTACTATTCTTAAAATAATATTTTTATTAATATTAAAATATATTATTAAAATATTTATATTTTATATTAACATATCTATCATTAAATCACAAAAAAAACTTTTATTTATGTTTATTATTAAAATAGTAATATAAATACCTTAATAAATAAAATATAAAATTATATGTTTTAAACTAAAAATAATAAGAAATTACTAAAATATTCATATTAAGAAAATAATATTATTAAATTATTTAACATTAATTATTAAAATAATAAAAATGTTATTATATATGTTATTATTTATTATTAAAATAATAATAATATAATACTATTTATTATTGAAATATTAACATTTTTTATTTTTAATAATATGGAAAATAAAAATATTTAAAACTAAAATATCAAAAGACTTTTAACATTAATATTTTAATTTTTAATTTAAATATAATATTTTTATTAATATAATAATATTTTAAGTCGAATTAAATCAAGTTTGAGTTTAAAATATTATATTTAAAGTCTTATTTGAATAAAACTATAAAAATATTTAATATTAATATTTTATTTTTTAAAAAAATTAAATAAAAATATTATTTATTAATATAATAATATTTTAAGCCAGATCAAATTAAGTTTAAACTTAAACAAATCATTTATAAGGTTTGACTTGAGTAAAATTATATTTAAACATATTGATAAATAATTTTACTTATAATCAGTGCTTTCCAAAAATTATCTTTTCCTTTTCAAAAGTGTAAGGCAATTTAAAAAAAAAAATTACTTTATTTTTCATTGACTAGTAAACCATTTTTTGTTAACTAATTAATTTTTTAATAAACAAACACAAAAATACAAAAATTATTTTTTACAAGTCACTTTTTTTATCAAACAAACAAAACTTAAAACTCAAATTCTAATAATATAAAAAAGATATCAGACAAAATGAAGTATTTACAATTGTGTTAAGTGTATGCAGCCAAGTTAGGCAATGGGAGAGCTTCTTATTGCTTGAGATATGTGGTTGCCGAATGGAAGTGGTGCTCTCGACTGAGGGTTTTTGGGTGATGAGAGCAGTGCTTTGGCCAAAACTAAGGATACGGAAGGCTCCGTGTGATGGTGTTAGCAGTGGTCTTTCATAAATTGACGATGGTATCTTTTTTTCGGCTGATTCGATGGCCGACTCTCTTTGTTCAAAATTGGCCCCCTTATATGAAATGAAGAATAAAAAAAAAAGATCGCCATAAAATCCGGAACACATGGGAGCACGAGAGGTTGTGACCAGATGGCCAAAAAACAGGGGGAGCACATGGGAGGTCATCATTTTTTTGGCCCTTTTTGCCTTTTTGATTTTTTTAATTTTTTTTAATGATTAATCAATATAAAAACATGTAATAATTAAATCAAATATATAATAAACATGATTAAAATATTATAATAAATTCAAATTGAATACATTAACATCGTGAATTTATTAAGAATTTATTTCGATTAATTAAAATAAAATTAAGTATTTACAATATATAATATATGATCAAATCAAAGGTTCATTAACAACAGAGCAGTGGCTGAATGGCAACCTCATTAAAAGCGAGGCCTGGACTTCCGTCGAGTTTGCAGTTTGCACTAGGAATTGTGAAAAAGTTTTCTGGACGCCTGAAAGATTTAGAGCTTGCAAAAGTAATATTTTTCTTACGCCGATAGAGTTACCAAAAATTTTATCATTTTTTTTCAATTGATTTATGCGTGGTGTATAAATCAATAAAATATAAATAAATGATAATACGTATATGTTTGTAATTTATATATTTATTTTTAAAGTTGTTTGAGTTTAATTTGTATTTAAAAGAATTATTTGTTTAAGTTTAATTACTTTAAATGTTAGTGTTTAGTTCAGTTTATATTCATCTTAATTAAGTTAAATAAAATTATTCATAAATATTAAACGAATATATTTATAAAAATATATAAATAAATATATTTATAAATAATAAATAAATTATAATTAAATAAATAAATTATAAAATGAATATAAATAAATTTTAAAATAAATTCGAGTTAAGATTGAAAATGTAATAATAATAATAAATAAAAGAATAAATAAAAATAAATATTAAATAAATAAATATTAAATTATTTTTAAATAAATTTATTTATAAATATAAATAAATTTTTGTTTATATTTTTTAATAACCCAACATAAATATATAAATACGAAAGATATTTACGAATAATTTAACAAAAATTCTGTTTCATTTGCACCGTTAATTATGCATGTATTTTCAAGAAATTCACTACCCAGTCAGTCCAAAGAAAATTTGTACGATCTTTTAGCAATTGAGTGATGGTTTACCCAGAAATTAAGCAGCAAGTCAGTTGAAGAAAATTGTAAGGGTTAGCTGAAACAGTGTGGCCGGTTGACGTGTTGGCTACTCAAAACTTTTCATTTCAAGATAAATGTGGGAACAATTGTTGGGATGAAATGTTTATTATTATTCGTACTTTAAATTTTTTCTGAAAGTGGTTCCTTGCTTTTAACTCAATTGCTCTTGAATTTATTCACCTTAATCTCCAAGCAAATTTCATTTCAAGTTATGGAAAAATCAAAACAAACTTCAACCCACTTTATTACCATCAAAATACACTAAATTAAAAATTTTGCTTTTTCTTTCACCAAACGAAAAAAAGACCAATAATTGAAGACAGCTAACCAATGAGAGGTGTGCGATAATTTCATCTTTATCAGAGCACTACCCATACAGTGGCTTAATGGGAACTGTTTTCTGCTTTCCTGTTATTTTGCCATCAACACTGCTTGCCGCTTGGGGTCCATCTATCAATCCGAATTCGACGACTTCAAGTCAATGCCTGCCTAATTGTCTGAATTATTAGCTGCAGAAAATTAGGTATTCAGTAAGTTGCATGACCAAGTTTTTGAACTTCTACAAATTAAACAGAGCGATCTCGTTTTACCCGTATTTCCGTTCTTCTTGTTCATCTCTCTTCACCTTCGTTTCTTATAATTCCATTCCACTATGTCTGTTATTGGAGAGGCTGCTCTTTCTACGTTTTTGGAGCTATTGTTTGACAAGTTGGTCAATTCTGCACTCAACTTTGCTACTTATCACAAGCAAGTTCGCGAGCAGCTCAAGGAGTGGGAATCAAAGTTGCCAGATATCCAAGCAGTGCTGAATGATGCAGAGCAGAAGCAGATCAAGAATGAGCTCGTGAAGAAGTGGTTGGCGGATCTGCAGGACTTGGCTTACGATGCGGATGACATCTTGGACGAGTTTGCTTATGAAGCTTTACGTCTCAAGCTCAAGCCAGCACTAGTAAGGTACGGCAACTACTTATTCCTACCTGCTGTACTAGTACTTTCAGTCCAACTTCTTTTAAGTTTTCTGATAAGATGATTCCCAAGATAAAAGAGATTAACACTAGATTGGATCGTTTGGAAAAACGAAGAAGTAGCTTGGGCTTGAGTAAGATCATGTCTGAAGGTGCAAGCTCCAAGGTAATGAAAGCAAGGCCGCAGCCTACTTCTGTGATGGATGAAACTATTGCATATGTTGGTAGAGACGATGAAAAGCGAGAAATGCTTGAATTGCTCAAACGTAATAACGGTGCTGAAGATGGTGTTTCTGTCATTTCCATAGTTGGCATTGGAGGGATGGGTAAGACAACTCTTGCTCAGCTTATTTACAATGACGCCAGCATACAACATTCGTTTGATCACAAGGCATGGGTATGTGTCTCTGATGACTTTGATGCCATTAAGGTAACAAAGTCAATTTTAAAATTCATCGCTCCTTCGGAGGCTTGTGATGACAATGACTTGAGTTTGCTTCAAGAGAAGATAAAGGAGAAGTTATCTGGAAAAAAATTCTTGCTCGTTTTAGATGACATTTGGGATATAAGTTACAATGAGTGGACTATCCTACGATCTCCATTTGGGGTAGGAACAAAAATTATTGTGACAACTCGCTTTCAAAGTGTTTCATCTAATATGGTTACTATGAAATCTTTCCACTTGGATAAATTATCACATGTTGATTGTTTATCTATATTTACTCAACATGCATTAGGAGCAAGGGATTTCAATGGACATCTCGACTTTAAAGATGTTGGGGAGAACATAGTGAGAAGGTGCAGTGGCTTACCTTTGGCAGCAAAAGTCATCGGAGGCCTATTACGCACAACTAGAGATCGTGGTGCATGGGAAAATATATATGAGAGCGAGATATGGGATTTACCAGAAGATCCATGTGGAATAGTTCCAGCTCTGCGACTGAGCTATCATCATCTTCCTCCACATTTGAAACAATGCTTTGCATACTGCTCTATACTTCCTAAAGATTATGAATTTGAAGAAGAAGAAATAATCTTGTTATGGAGAGCAGAAGGCTTACTACAACAGAAAGCTGGGAGTCAATGTAGAGGTTTCGGTAGCCAATGCTTCCGAGATTTAGTGTCAAGGTCATTTTTTCAAATGTCTGATAAAGGCGAATCTTTGTTCGTAATGCATGACCTTATCAACGATTTAGCTCAATTTGTTGCTGGAAAGATATGCTCCAAATTTGAAGGCAATAAACAACAGGAAATTTCACGTCGCACTCGACATTTATCTTATGTTCAAAGTGAGTTTGATGGAGTGATGAAGTTCGAAGCATTTGATCAAGTGGAGCATTTGCGAACCTTTCTACCATTAAGGTTGCAAAGGACAGGGACAGGTCTTTCTTTTTTGACCGATGATGCCCTTCATAAGTTGTTGCCTAGACTTTCATGCTTAAGGGTGCTTTCTTTTAGTGGGTATTGGATCACTGAGTTGCCTGATATTTTTGAAAATTTAAAACATCTACGCTACTTAGATTTTTCTCGCACTCTAATAAAATGTTTACCTGATTCTCTATTTACCCTTTATCATTTGGAAACTTTGAAATTGAACTGGTGCATGCAACTTGAAATATTGCCTCCGGAGATAGAAAATTTGGTCAACTTGCATTATCTTGACATCAGGGGTGCACGTTTAATAAAAGGGATGCCTTCAGGAATTGGTAAACTAACCAATCTTCAAAGGCTATCTGATTTTGTTTTAGGCGAAGATGACGGTCATCTTATAAAAGAGGTGAAAAATTTGTCAAATCTCAGGGGTGAATTTTGTCTTTCAGGATTGGAGAACGTTGTTAAAGGTCAAGATGCTTGGGAAGCAAAGTTAAGTGAAAAGTCAGAGGTTGATAAGTTGGAATTAAAATGGAGTGGAGACTTTGGGAATAAGATAAGGAATAAAGAAGTGGAAGAAGAGGTGTTGAACTTTCTTTGTCCTCATAGAAAGAAGCTTGAGGAGCTCAGCATTGTGCATTATGGAGGTGCAAAATTCTCAGTTTGGATAGCAGATTCTTCCTTTGTAAATATGTTGTCTTTGAAGCTCATCAATTGTCAAAATTGCATATCACTACCATCAATTGGAAAGTTGCCGAGGTTGAAAAATCTTTACATTGGGGGAATGGATGAGGTAAAAGAAATTGGTGTTGAGTTCTTTGGAGAAAATCAACCGAATGCATTTGCTTCATTGGAGGATCTGTGTTTTGAGGATATGCTAAACTGGAAGGATTGGGACTCTTGTGAATCTGATGATCAAGTTTCGAAATTCCCCAAGCTTCGTCTGCTTTCAATCCTAGAGTGTCCTGAATTGTTAGGAAGGCTGCCTAATTGTCTTCATTCCTTGCAGGAACTTGTAATTCGTGGGTGTCAGCAGTTGGTAGTTTCAATTTCGAGACTTCCATTGCTATGTGAATTAGAAATACATGGGTGTAAAGAATTGATGTATAGCAATTGTGTGGACGTTACCTCATTGAAAAGAGTCTCTCTTTTAGGCATTTCAAAGTTTGGTATTCCACCGGAGAGGATAGTGTCCACGTTGACTAAATTGGAAAGTTTTCGCACTGGTGGCTGTAAGGAGTTGGCATCTTTATCGCAAAATGGGTTAGGATTCCTTGGGCATCTAAGCTCCCTTCGCGACATTGAAATTTCTGACTGCCCCCAACTGGTGTCTTCAGAGACAGAGGAGGTGAACGAAGAGAAATTGCAACTTGGGAAGATTTCCAGTATTGAATCTCTGACAATAAAAGATTGTGAAAGGCTTAATAGACTACCAAAAGCCTTGCATAGTCTCACATTCCTTGCAGAGATTCAAATTGGAAAGTGCCCAAGCTTGGTTTCTTTTGCGAAGAATAAGTTGCCCCCTGCTTTAAAAAGGCTGATGATTTGGGATTGTGATAATTTGCAATATTTGGTGGATGAAAGAGAAAATAAGAGTACGAGTAACGAATGTCTTCTTGAGCGCTTGGAAATTAGAGGGTGTAATTCTCTAATATGTTTATCATCAAGGAGTGATTTTCTCATTCGGCTTGGAGATCTCAGGATTGATTCTTGCCAAAAGCTGACTTCCTTATTTTTAAAGTTACCTGCAACGCTTAAACTGCTACAAATTTTTCTTTGTCCAAAGTTGGAATGCATAGCCCAAGAATTTCACCAAGCCACTTGTCTTGAATCTATTCGGATCTCCAGCTGTATGAATATTAAATCTTTACCGCAAGGAATAGAGAAGCTCAGCCATCTTCAGGAGATTAGAATTAGCAGGTGTCCAAATCTGGTTTCTTTGGAACAAATTGGGTCCCTCGCCAACCTCAGAATCTTCACAATCGAGGATTGTGAAAATTTTGGAGCCCTACCCAGGTGCATGAAAAACTTCACCTCCCTTCAGGAATTGAATGTGTGCGGCTGTTCGGCTGACGTTTCCTTTCCAGAAGAGGGTTTCCCTTCCAACCTCACATCTCTAGAAATCTCCAAAGCACCCAAAATTTATGGGTCACTTGTTGAATGGGGATTGCATAGACTCACCTCTCTCCGACAACTCCGCATCGGGGGTGAAGGATGCTCAGATGTAGTGTCGTTTCCAGAAGAGAAGACAGGAATGATGCTGCCTCCTTCTCTAACCCATATCAGCATAAGAAATTTCGAAAATTTGAAATACATGTTCTCCAAGGGCTTTCAAAACCTCACCTCTCTTCGATCTTTGTACATCTCTGATTGTTCTAAGCTCAATGCTCTTCCAGATAAAGACATGCTTCTCTCGGTTGAGGAACTACGCATTCTTGATTGTCCATTGCTAAAAGAAAAGTGCAAAAGGGGTAAGCGACGAGAGTGGTCCAAGATTGCCCACATACCTTTGGTTGAGATGGACGGCTTTGAGAAGGGATGTAGTTTATTATGATCATCCTGAAGGAATTAAATGCAAAATTGGCCCTTGCTCAATCTTAAAACACAGGTGTGAAACCACATTAAATATTGATCAATTTTTGTTGTCATCTATCTGTTTTTCCTTGGCAACAAGATAATAATTGCAATCAGTAACATTTTTTTATTATTTTTACAGGCGTTGCAAGCTAAATTGGTGACAAAATGGGATTTTAAAAGATCCGTTCATGGAAAAGGGTGGAGCCATCGAACTCTGCTTTAGCTTATTTGAGTGATAGAGTGGTTAGTTAATTCTCTGCTACTATTACTTTTATAAATTTGTTTGACACACAGGAAAGGGATCTTCACAGACTAACCTTCATTAGACATTTATTCACTGTGATAGATGTTGAGATGCAATCTTTTGCCACATATGAGATAGGAGTAATGTTTCTTACCTCATATACCTTTCCTGTCTTAGGGATTTGCCTAATGTTCAAGAGCTTTGAGAACTTCACTGAATGTTTGAGCGTCCTTTCTGGAAAGGACTTGCTTTCTCTCTTCTCCAATTATGTATTTTTTATGGCTTTTCTCCGTACAAGTTAACAGCGTAGAAGGGATAAAGGATGGATTGATTGAAGATAGTCTTCTGCTTTATGCTTGTACTAGTAACAGCTTATTTGTTATCTGGGAGGAAAAATGGAATCTGTTTGATCTCACGAGGGCAAAACTGGGAGAAAACTAGTGAATACACCCTATTTAATCAGAGTTTCAACCAAAGGTATGCCAATCTTTTTTTCTATCCTTTTTTCTTTTTATCATTTTCAATGATTGAGAAAAATTTTGATGAGGACAAGGTGTTCATTTAGTTTTTCATGCAGAATTCTTAACAAGAACATGAAGCCAAAAGGATTAAATTCATAAACATATTAATAAACATGATCGCACTATGTTCTTTTTTATTAACTTCTTAGAATTGCAAAATTTATGACATTGCATATGGCATTTAAGTTAAAAAATATTTGACATTTCATTATTACTATTGAAGGATGTTTGGATATGTGGTCAGCTCCAAAATCTGTAATAGATATCCTCCAAGGGTTTCAAAATCTCAACCCTCTTCATTATTTGTACATTTTTGGGCGCACATCTCTTCTGAAAAAAGACATGCTTCTCTCATTTGGACAACTATCTTTGCTAAATAAATAGCGATAAAGGGATAAAGTATGAGAATGGTCCAATTTTGCCCCATAACTTGTGTTGTAATTGTTGGTGGATGCGTCATCACAATTTTCAAGGCAGCCCTGATTTTCTCATGCTTATACCAAAGGTATGAAATAATTTAAAAGATGGGAAAAATAATTAAATATAAATATCTGGTTTGTTTGATTCTTGTTAGATAGAAGATAGTATTAATGCCAATGTGATATGTTCATTTTTACAGCCAATTTGAAGCTTCAAAGCTAAATCTTGAGAAAGGGTGTTCTATCACTCTATTTGAAGGTTCAATAGCCTTTCCTTTTTCCACCACACTGATGTTTATTCTAGTAATGTCAAAGTCCGAAGTTTAACCATTCAAAGGAAATGCCTGTATAACTACAGCTGTGGTGTTTACAGGCACTTTAAACTCTACATTGGTGGTGAAGGATGCTCAGATGTGGTGTCATTTTCAAAAGAAGAGATAGGAATGATGCTGCCTCCTCTAACCCATCCTGGCCATATCTCCATAGGAAATTTTGAAAATCTGAAATACATGTTCTCCAAGGGCTTTCAAAACCTCACCACTCATCAATCTTTGTACATCTCTGATTGTTCTAAGCTCGCATCCAAGGGCTTTCAAAACCTCACCACTCATCAATCTTTGTACATCTCTGATTGTTCTAAGCTCGCAGTCCTTCGTGATAAAGACATGCTTCTCCAGCCCGAGGAACTATGGTTTCGGGATTGTCCATTGCTAAAAGAAGAGTGCAAAAGGGGTAAAGGACGAGAGTGGTCCAAGATTGCCCACATAATTGATTGGGATAGGATCATCCTGAAGGAATTAATGGAAAGTCGGCCTGATTCCCAACTCTCAAACCACAGGTTGTGAAACCACTTTAAATATTGAATCAATTTGTTCATTGTCATCTATTGTTTTCCTTGGCAAAATGCCAATCATTTGCAGTCAGTATAATTTTTTTAATTTATTTTTGCAGGCTTTGAAAGCTAAATTGGTGACAAAATGGGATTTCAAAAGATCCTTTCATGGAAAATGGTGGAACCATCGAACTCTGCTTTAGGTTATTCGATTGATAGAGTGGTTGGTTAATTCTGTACTACTATTACTTCTGTAACTTTGTTTGACACACAGGAAAGGGGTCTTCACAGACTAACCTTCATTAGACATTCATTCACTGTGATAGACGTTAGGATGCAATCTTTTGCCACATATGGGATAGGAGCAATGTTTCTTACCTCTTACACCTCTCCTGTCTTCAGGATTTGTTCAAGAGCTTTGTGAACTTCACTGAATGTTTGATCATCCTTGCTGGAAAGGAATTGCTTTCTCTCTTCTCCAACTATGTATTTATGATGGCTTTTCTCAGTAAAAGTTAACAGCGTAGAAGGGATGGAGGATGGATTGGTTTAAGATAGCCTTCTGCTTTATGCTTTTACTACTAACAACTTATTTGTTATCTGGGAGGAAAAATTGAATCTGTTTTATCCCACAAGGACAAAACTGGGAGAAAACTAGTGAATACACCCTATTTAATCAGAGTTGCAGCCATAGGTCCGTCAATCTTTTTTTTCTATCTTTTTTCCATTTTCAATGATTGATCAAAATTTTGATGAGGACAAGGTGTTCATTTAGTTTTGCATGCGGAATTCTCAACAAAAATATGAAGCAAAAAGGATTAAATTCATAAACATATTAATAAACATAATGATCACACTATATTCTTTTTTATTAACTTCTTGGAATTAAGATTGTAAAATTTATGACATTGCAGATGGCATTTTAGTTAGAAAATATTTGACATTTCATTATTACTATTGAAGGGTGTTTGGATATGCGGTCATCTCCAAATTCTATAATAGATATCCTCCAAGGGATTCAAAATCTCACCCCTCTTCATTTTTTGCACATTTTTGGGCACACATATCTTCTGAAAAAAGACATGCTTCTCTTACTTGGGCAACTATCTTTGCTTAATAAATAGTGATAGAGAGAAAAAGTATGAGAATGGTCCTATATAGCCACATACCTTGTGTTGTAATTGTTGGTGTATGCATCATCACAATTCTCAGGGCAGCCTTGATTTTCTCATGCTCATACCAAAGGTATGAAATATTTTAAAAGATAGGAAAAATAATTAAATATAAATATATGGTTTATATGATTCTTGTTAGATAGAAGATAGTAGTAATGACTATGTGATATGTTCATTTTTACAGCCAAAGCTTCAAAACTAAATCTTGACAGAGGGTGTTCTATCATTCTATTTGAAGGTTCAATAGTACCTGAAAGGCTTCACCTTTCTTTTTTCCACCACATTTACGTTTACACTGGCAACATCAAAGTCCGAAGTTTAACCATTCAAAGAAAAATGCCTGTATAACTACAGACGTGGTGTTTACAGGCATTTTAAACTCTGCATTGGTGGTGAAGCATGCTCAGATGTGGTGTCGTTTCCAAAAGAAGAGATAGGAATGATGCTGCCTCCTCTAACCCATACAGGCCATATCTCCACAGGAAATTTTGAAAATCTGCAATACATGTTCTCCAAGGGCTTTCAAAACCTCACCTCTCTTCAATCTTTGTACATCTCTGATTGTTCTAAGCTCACAGCTCATCCTGATAAAGATATGCTTCTCTCGCTGGAGGAACTATGGTTTCGGGGTTGTCCATTGCTAAAAGAAGAGTGCAAAAGCGGTAAAGGACGAGAGTGGTCCAAGATTGCCCACATAATTGATTGGGATAGGATCATCCTGAAGGAATTAAATGGAAATTCGACCCTGATTTCCCCACTCTCAAACAACAGGTGTGAAACCACTTTAAATATTGATCAATTTTCATTGTCATCTATCTGCTTTTCCTTGGCAACAAGATAATAATTGCAATCAGTATATTTTTTTTTTATTATTTTTGCAGGCTTTAAAAGCTAAATTGGTGACAAAATGGGATTTTAAAAGATCCTTTCAAGGAAAATGGTGGAGGCATTGAACTCTGCTTTAGCTTATTTGATTGATAGAGTGATTAGTTAATCCTCTACTATTATTACTTCTGTAAATTTGTTTGACACACAGGATAGGCGCCTTCACAGGCTAACCTTCATTAGACATTCATTCACTGTGATAGATGTTAGGATGCAATCTTTTGCCACATATGAGATAGTAGTAACGTTTCTTATCTCTTATACGTCCCGTCTTTAGGATTTTCCGAATATCAAAAACCAATGTTCAAGAGCTTTGAGATCTTCACTGAATGTTTGAGCATCCTTTCTTGAAAGGAATTGTTGTCTCTCTGCTACAACTATGTATTTATGATGGCTTTTCTTGGTAAAAGTTAACAGCGTAGACAGGATGAAGGATGAATTGGTTGAAGACAGCCTTCTGTTTTATGCTTGTACTAGTAACAGCTTATTTGTTATCTTGGAGGAAAATTGGAATCTGTTTCATCTCACAAGGACAAATGGGAGAAAACTAGTGAATACACCCTATTCAATCAGAGTTTCAGCCATAGGTAGGTCAATCTTTTTTTCATTTTCAATGATTGATCAAAATTTTGATGAGGACAAGGTGTTCAATTAGTTTTAATACTCAACAAGAATATGAAGCCAAAAGGATTAAATTCATAAACATATTAATAAACATGATGATCGCACTATATTCTTTTTTATTAACTTCTTAGAAATAAGATTGCAAAATTTATGACATTGCATATGGCATTTTAATTAGAAAATATTTCACATTTCATATGACATTGCATATGGCATTTTAGTTAGAAAATATTACACTAGCACATCAAAGTCCGAAGTTTAACCATTCAAAGAAAAATGCCTGTAAAAAAGGTATTTTATACTCTACATTGGTGGTGAAGTATGCACAGATGTGGTGTCATTGCCAGAAGAAGAGATAGGAATGATACTGCCTCCTCCCCTTTATCTCCATACAAAATTTCGAAAATCTGCAACACGTTCTGCATGAGCTTTCAGAACCTCACCTCTCTTCAATATTTATTCATCTTTGATCGCTCTAAACTCACATCTCTTCCAGAAAAAGACATTCTTCTCTTGCTTGGGAAGCTAGAAATTCCCTGCTGCTCATTGCTACAAGAGTGGAAAAGGGGTAAAGGATGAGAGTGGTTCAAGATTTCCCACATACCTTCTGTTGAAATTGACTGTGAAAACATCATCCTGAAGGGATTGAATTGAAGATTTAAGTTGGAAAATCCAATCCTCATTTCATTGCACAAAACACAGGTGTGAAACCATTTTAAGGATAGAGCGTTTCAAAGTTTTTCATGTTGATTTATTTTATTTTCCTTAGCATCAAGATAATAATAGTGATTAGTATGATTTTTGCAGGCAATTTGGAAGCTAAATTGGTGGGAAAACGGGCTCATTTAAAAAATATTTTCAAGGAAAATGGTGGAGGTATCTAAATCTGCCTTAGCTTATTTGATTAATGTAGCAGTCATTTGATTAATTCTCTGCAACTTTTATCTACATTACAGAATTTTTTTCCGTCCTTAATATTGTTGATAACAATTAAAAATTGGTTCTATATATTGAAAAAATCTTCTCCATTCTTAATGTGAGGAATTTTGTATACTTTTTATATAATTTCAAACTATGCCAACTTTGCTTCCTTTGCCAACCCTTTAACTTATTTCTTACATTGTCATTGTTCACATCTGGTCTCTTTGTGCTCATTTAACTTTTTTATCTTACTTTTGTAAATTTCTTGGAGAGAGGAAAGAGGAAAAAGATTGCTTCTCTGTTAATTTTACTTTTGTAAATTTGTTTGAGTAGGTCTGTACAAACTAACCTTTATTAGACATTTTTTGGCCAATTGGTAGAAGTTATTTGATGGTGATAGATGTTAGGAGGCAATAGCTTTGCCACATATGAGATAGGAATAATATTGCTTACGTCTTATACTTCATTTTCCTCTGGGATTCACTTATTATGAATACCTTCAGGAGCTTTCAGAACTTCGCTCCAAGTTTGTGCACCCCTCCAGGAAAGGATTTGCTTTCCCTCTTCTCATACTATGTATTGATGGCTTTTCTCTTGCAAAATTAACATCATGGAAGGGATAAAGGAAGGGCTGCTCGAAGATTGCTTATCTGCTTTATGCTTGTATTAGTAACAGATGATTACTTGTTATCTGGGGGGAAAAGTGGAATCTTTTTGACCTCACGAGAAGGAAACTGTGAGAAAACCAATGAATATACCCTATTCAATCATCGTTTCAATCATAGGTATGTCTATCCTAATTTTCTTTTTATCTTTTTTAATTTTCAATTCAATGATTGATTTAAATTTTGATGAGGACAAGGTGTTGTTCATTACTTCATTTATTAATCAACATGAAGATTGCACTCTTTTTTTATTAACTTTTAATAAAGAAGATTGCATATGGGATTTTAGTTGAAGATATTTGACATTTCATTGTTCTATTGAAGGATGTTTGGAGATGCCATCATCTCCAAAATCTGAAATACATATCCTCCAAGATCTTTCAAAACCTCACCTCTCTAGTATTCGTGCATTTATGAGCACAATCTATTCTGGAAAAAGACATACTTCTCTCCTTTGAGCAACTATATTTGCTAAAAATATGGTGAAAAGGTGATAAAGTTTGAGAATGGTCCAAGATAGCCACACACCTTCTGTTGTGTTATTGATGAATGCATCATCACGATTCTAAGGGCAGCCATGAATTTCTCATGATAATACCACAGGTATGACACTGTTTCAAAGATAGGCAAGATAATTAAATAGTAGTATTTGATTTACTGATTTTCATTTGATAGAAGATCATAGCAACTAGCAAGTATGATATGTTATTGATTATGTTTACAGGCAGATTTAGTTTCAAAGTCAAATATGTGAAAAAGTGGGCTTTCTATTACTCAACACCAAGATGAAGTACTTTCAAGGCTTGTCCTTCTTTTTTTCTCATCTGCATTGAAATTAACCATCACATGATCAGTGTGAGAAGTTTAACACTAAAAGACTAATGCTTGTATAAATGCAGGCACTATGTAAGATCCCTTTATGCAAATCTCTTGGTTTGTCCTTCAGAACTAGTAAAACATCAAGGTTGGAGGGATCCGTTGATTCTGTGCAGCTTCTAATGTCATTTACAATATGGAATTGAAAAGATAATCAGAAAATATGCATGGAATTTTTTAATTATAC